TTTCTTTCTTTCTTTCTTTCTTTCTTTCTTTCTTTCTTTCTTTCTTTTTTGAGAGAGAGAGAATGCACCCAAGCAGGGGAGGGTCAGAGGGAGAGGAAGAGAGAAAATCTTAAGCAGGCTCCATGCCCAGCACGGAGTCCAATGGGGGACTTGATCTCACGATGGTGAGATCATGACCTGAGCCAAAATCAAGAGTCAGACCCTTTACTGACTGAGCCACCCAGGTGCCCTGGTGTCTTGTTATTTCTTGATCAGCATGCTTAAAAATGAATTTTAAGGCTGGAAAATCTTGTAACACTTTCAAAAGTAAGAAAATAAAATGTTCTCGGGGCGCCTGGGTGGCTCAGTCGGTTAGGCGTCCGACTTCAGCCAGGTCACGATCTCGCGGTCCGTGAGTTCGAGCCCCGCGTCGGGCTCTGGGCTGATGGCTCGGAGCCTGGAGCCTGTTTCCGATTCTGTGTCTCCCTCTCTCTCTGCCCCTCCCCCATTCATGCTCTGTCTCTCTCTGTCCCAAAAATAAATAAACGTTGAAAAAAAATTAAAAAAAAAATAAAATGTTCTCTGTGTCTGAAAAAAAAAAAAAAAAGAAACAGTGTCTTAAATTACTAGGTAAGTTTTTGTTCTTTTCTTCAAATATTTACATGAATTATTTGAGCTTTGTATGGATGGAATTTTGAAATATTTAAATTCCTTGAAATATTTTATTATTTAAGGTTCATATTTATTAAATCCTGTAGCATGTACTTTTCTGTGGAAGTGAGGGTTCAGTTCAATTATCATTTCTTCAGTACAGACAGTATACAGAGCAGAGTCTGGGTGATGGAGGAAGTGTAAAGTAAGCCAGTCTTCAGAGATTTTACCCATCAAGGGGGAATACAAAGCGATAAAATACTTGTAAACCACAAGTTATAGAGGTCCTAAAAAGAGATACCTGACAGCAGTGGCTAGAGGAAAAGCTTCAGAGAGAAGCTGGCACTCCAGATGGGCCCTGAAGAGCCAACAAGGGTATCACACGTGGGGTGGGGGGCAGTGAAATGAGGGGCTGAGGGGTCAACTTGACTCTTGCTCTCTTGTTCATTCATGAAGCCCCTTTTTTTTAGATAGGATAGGATAGGATAGGATAACCCATGCAGTCATCTTCTCAGCATGGTGCCAGCTCCTTTCGCATCAACCTTGATTCACCCTCCCCACTGGGAAAACACATCTTGACTATCCCAGGCACCTGTTCCCGAGGGCTTACCTGCACCCCTTCACCCACAGCGACTCCCCTGTTCAGCAATTCTGCAGGTCCCAAGCAGCCCTAAAGAAGCAGAGAGCAGGCATCACAATTCCATCAGAACTCCCAACAGATACCCATTCCCCCCCTCCCATCTCTTGAGTCCTGCTTGATGAGAAGACACCATTCAAACTAGAAATCTGGCTATACATGTGGCCCTGTGGCCCCATCCCCACTTCCAATGCTTCCTGACACCCCAAATGATAGTCCTTAACTTGGGGTAAAAAGCTTTTCTGTCCAGCTCTAGATCTCCCCTGTCCCTGGCTCACAGTGACTCTTTGTAGACCCTGCCGCACACACACATACACACACTCACAGGCACCATGTTGCTTCACTTCTGTTTTGCTTGCGTTTCCCCCTCTATGTGAAACACAAGCCTCTCTTCCCTGGGTTGTCACAATAATTCCTATCCATACGTGAGTCTCAGCTTGAATGAATTCTTTTCTTTTGATAGCTTCTTGCTTTCTCTAATACAACATTTTAGCTTTTCTAAACTGAAGCCATTACTCAGATCAGCACAATACATCCATCTTGAATTTTTGTCCATTCAATAGAGGATTGTTCCTCCTTTGGGGTAGGAGAGGGAATGAACTCATTTAACTCTCCTACTTCATTAGGAAACCACTGAAATTACCTAAAAGAGGAATGATAAGGGATCACAGCAGATGCATGAACAGGCAATGGCAAAAAAGAGAAAATTCAAGGAAAGAGGATCAATAGAATGTGTAAGTAACTGTCTCTGGAGAAAATAGGAGGAATCAAGGGAATGAATTTGAGCCTTAGAAACTAAGAGAAAGATAGTATCTATGATGGAATTTGGAAGGTTCAAAGGGGAAGAAATTTCTTTTTAATTTTAGAATTTTTTTATTGAAGTGTAATAACATACCATGTTATATTAGTTTCAGGTATACAACATACTGATTCAATAATTATATATATTACTCAGTGCTCATCATGATAAGTGCAGTCACCATCTATTACATTGTTGCCGATATTCCCTATGCTATACCTTTCATCTCCATGACTTATTTATCCCATAACTGGAAGCTTGTACCTCTTAATCCAAAAAAGGGAAGGAAATTTGATGGGACAGCAGGACATTAAGTGAACGTACAACCTGCAAATTTATAGCTATAGAACCTAGGGGGAAAGGAGTGCCTGGGTGGCTCAGACAGTGAAGCATCTGACTCTTGACTTGGGCTCAGGTCATGATCTCCTGGTTCATGAGCTCGAGCCCCACATCAGGCTCTGTGCTGACAGTGAGGAGCCTGCTTGGGATCCTGTCTCCTCTCTCTTGTGCTACCTTTCTCTCTCAAAAATAAATAAACTTAGGGGCGCCTGGGTGGCGCAGTCGGTTAAGCGTCCGACTTCAGCCAGGTCACGATCTCGGGGTCCGGGAGTTCGAGCCCCGCGTCAGGCTCTGGGCTGATGGCTCAGAGCCTGGAGCCTGTTTCCGATTCTGTGTCTCCCTCTCTCTCTGCCCCTCCCCCGTTCATGCTCTGTCTCTCTCTGTCCCAAAAATAAATAAAAACGTTGAAAAAAATAAATAAATACATAAATAAATAAATAAACTTAAAAAAAAAAAAGGACCTGGGTCGGGGTGGGGGGGTCATCCTAGTGTGAAGAAGGTAGGGAATCATTTTAGAGATTACTGAAGACACAAGAATGTATAAAAAAAAAAGAGAGAGAGAGAGGGTAAAACCAGTGCAAAGGCTGTGGCCTAGTGGGACATCTACAGTCACAAAATGAGAGGAGGAAGTGAAAGTAGTTTAAAAATTTAAAAAAAAAAAAAAAAAAAGGAAGCGTCAGAAGAGGTAGTGAACCAGGACAGTGGAGTATGGAATTAGCCAAAAGGAGAAAGGGATAAAGGACAAGCTGTCAACATTGTTGGATGCTGCTGAGGAGTGAAGGAAAATGAGGACTGAAGAAAAAAAAAAAGCTGTTCAATTTGGTGATTGGGAAATGACATTGGCGACTTCAGAGAGCACAGTTTCCGAAAGCAAAGCAGGAGAGGAAGCTAGATCACGGACAGTCGAGAACAAAATGGGAGTGGACTTATTAAAGCCATGACGGTGCTTGGAGGGACCACTCCAGTCCAGAATGATAGTGATAACAGAGGGAATATCAAATGGGAGAGATGTTGGGCATGTTCACACTTCAAAACACCTCTGCAGCCCAGAAATGGAACAGAAACAATATGGTGAGTGGCCTAAAGCTATAGACCAGCTGGATTCTGCCAAAAGCCAACAGAGGCATTCAGGACCTGGTCTCATATGGTGCATTAGGGGCTAAACATCTCCGTGTGAGGCAGAAGATTCACCTGAAATCAAGGGCTGGGATCAAGAGTCAGGAGCTGCCTAGGGCTACGGGCTTGTACAAACCTACATACCTAGGGAGGGTGGAAAAAGCAGACACAGTCTCATAGCCAGAATCTGATCCCGGGGAAGAGATTGGATGTACAATACTTTATAATAATAAGACAAGATCTGGCCTGGGAGTCCCAGAAACCACAAAGCTACCAAGTAGGGAAGGTTGAGTTCTGAGGGACAGAGAAAGGAAGGAAAGGGAGCAGGGAGGGAAGGATGATGGAAGGAAGTGCTGAGAAAGAGAGCCCAAAATAGAAGCATCAGCGCTGAGAAGAGTTCATTCCGGACCAAAAAAAAAAAAAACAAAAACAAAAACAAAAACAAAAAACAAAAAACAAAAAAGGATGGGAAGGTTATAAGACAAAGAAAAGAAATTGGAAGTTTATATATTCAAATACTGAAAATATTGAAAGAGGTTTAAATACGCCTGTGTGTTTTGTCTGCCCAGCATCGATTTCCTTTTTTCCTAGTCACAGCATTCCAATTTTCCTTGGATAACCTGACTCACTCCCTGTCTACATGCATATTCTAACCCCCTAACTAAAATGATCGGTTCAGAGATGAGCAGGTGAGCAAGCCAATGAATTGGAATCAGTCCTAAAATTTTTGTGGATAGCAACACTAGAATAGAAGTCCCCTGCCTCTGGGTATTGCTGAAAGAATAGGAGGTAAGTCTGGCACTGCTGGCAGACTTTTTGTCATCGCACAGGGAGATCCTGCCTAGAAATGGAGCCAAGACAGAGAGAAATACATTAGAGAGATAGAAAAGGCAAGACCAAGACCTAATGGCAGCATCTCATGCCCTGGATCCAGCCATATGGGCTTCTTATCAGTTTAGTGAGCCCACACGTTTCCTTTTTTGATTAAGTTGGTTTGAATTTGTTTCTGTTATTCTTACCTAAAAGATAGCTGACAAAACAAAAACGAGGAGGCATAGGTGTTTCTCTTTGAAGATAACATGAGCAGCTACCTAGAAAATCTAAGAAAATCAACTGAAAAGCTATCAAAAACTAATGATGCAAGGTCAAATGCAAAAAAAAAAAAAAAAATCTGTCAACAAACTGATCGGTTTTTTTTTTTTTTTTTTTTTAAAATTTTATTATTTTTTGGGACAGAGAGAGACAGAGCATGAACGGGGAAGGGGCAGAGAGAGAGGGAGACACAGAATCGGAAACAGGCTCCAGGCTCTGAGCCATCAGCCCAGAGCCTGACGCGGGGCTCGAACTCCCGGACCCCGAGATCGTGACCTGGCTGAAGTCGGATGCTCAACCGACTGCGCCACCCAGGCGCCCCACTGATCGTTTTAAAAATAGGAAGTGTGATAAGAAAAAAAAACAGATTCCATTTACAATAGCAACAAAATTAGGAAATAGTCAGCAATAGCACCGTACCTTGCAGATATGTTCAAGAACTACAAGAAAAAGATTAAAACTAGACAAAGACCTGAATAGGAGGATTTAATGTTGTCAAGATAACACTTGTCTCCAAATTACTCATAAATTCCATGCGTTTCTAGTCGAACAAGAATTGATCAGTAGCTCAATGGAAAAGAATAGACAGCCCCGAGACAAGCTCAGGTACATGAGAAGTTAGTATTGTGATAAGGAAAAGAATGGACTCCTCAATAAAGGATATTGAAACAATTGCCTATTAGAAAAAACTTGTTACTTTTTTTTTTTTTTTTTGAGAGAGAGAGAGAGAAAGAGTGTGTACACACACGCCCACACGAAAGCAGGGGTGGAGCAGAGGGAAAGGGAGAGAGAATTTCAAGCTCTGTGTCCAGTGTGGAGCCCAATGGGAAGCTCGATCTCACCACCATGACATGAGCTGAAATCAAGAATCGGAAGCTTAACCAACTGAGTCACTCAGGCACCCCTGAAGTTACTTTTTTACCTCATGTGATTTCTTTAAAAATAAATTCTAGGTGGACTTAGGTAGGGAAACAAAAACATTATCAAACTATTAAAGGAAAATATATAGAAGACCATGTTTAGGACCTTTGGGGGTAGGAAAGGTCTCCTGAAACAATATGCAAAATGCAAAAGCTGTAAAAAGAGAAGGACTGAAAAGATAAATAAAATTTATTTTATTAACCCTTTAAGTTTGTTGAACAAAAACTGTAAATGATATTAAAATTCCAGTTGTAGACAGGTGAGCACATTGTAACATAGATAGCAAAGGACTTACAAGTTCTTTGTTGTGTGTCCTCAAGAAAAAGATAAAACAAAATAGGACAATGGACAAAATATATGAGAGGCAATTTACAAAAGAGGAAACATAAATGGCAAACATTTGAAAAGTTGCTCAGTCTCATCAGTTTGGCGGGGAATGCTAATAAAAACACGGGGATATCATTTTTCACACATTTGACCGACAATACATAACAAAGATTGGGTTAGCAAGCCTTCTGCAAAAGAGGTGCTCTCTTCTGTCATTGCTGGGAATGTAAACCGGTCAAGCCTTTTTGGAGAACAGAATGGGCAGTGGTCCGTCCAACTTTAGATGCATCTATCTTTTGACTCAGCAATCTCACACTGTGGTATCCACCCTACAGAAATACTCGTGTATGTGCAAAAGGAAAGCAGGTTGTTCACTGAAGTATTAAAAACTTAGAGCAGGTTGAGCACTGGGTGTTGTATGGAAACGACTTTGACAATAGATTTCATATTTTAAAAAATACAATAAATGAAAAATAAAAATAAAAACTTAGGGCAAGGGCGCCTGAGTGGCTCAGTTGGTTAAGCATCCAACTTTGGCTCAGGCCATGATCTCTCAGGTTCGAGCCTCCCATCAGGCTCCAAGAGCCTGCTTGGGATTCTTTCTCTCCCCTTCTCTCTCCCCCTCCCCTGCTCGAACTCTCACTCTCTCTCTCAAAATAAATAAATGAACTCAAAAAAGAAAAAAAATGAAAGCAACCTAAATGATCATCAAGAGAGAGACTGTTAAATAAATAGTGAAGCATCTGAGTCATGTAAGAATATGCAGTGCTTAAAAAAGAATTAGAACACCTAGACACAGAAAAATCTCCAAGAGACAAGGCTCAATTAAAAAAAAAAAAAAAAGCAAATTGAGGAACAATCCATACTATGTCCACACTTCATGATATGCAAAATTTCCTCTCCCTCTCTCTCTAAATCTCTCTAAATACACACCTATGTACATAAATAAATATACAGGGAAATCATGCAGTTATGTAAATCTCTGAGAAGATACATTCCAAACTGAGATCGGTGTTTGCCCCATGCAGGAACCTGAAATGGAGGTGGGGAGGAAGGGTAGAAAGAAAAATGTTTTATTTATCTGTGGTGTGATTTTCTTTTTTTTCAGATTCCTTGTAACTTGATGAATGCGGGTCTTCACTCTGTTTAGGAAAAGACCTTCCTCCTTTCGAAAGTCCTGCTCCTTGTGGGCATCTGGGCCCCTGCGCTGCATTCCAGATTAGCTGCATTCCTGGTGAGGTAGTGAGTCAGCCCAGTGTGCCCCAGGCTAGGCAGGGGAACAGCAGTTCTGTGCTTCGGTCCTGGGTCAACAGTCACAAAGACGGACCATGGGTAAATCAGTTTCAGTTCCTTTCTGGTAGCCAGCTCGTTTTTGGAGCAGACATCACAGAATGGAGCGAGAATGAGGGTCAAACGAATTGCCACTCCATAGGCCACTTCCCCCACCCCCACCCCTACCCCTGCCCTGCCCTCGGTGCCTCTGGTAACCAGCCAAACCCATCGGGCAGGGCAGCGGGGAGCTGGAGATTTTAGGGGAATTGCTTGTGGAATTCGGGCACCGCTCACAGCAAAAGGGCAGGCTGGGGATACCATTGCTGGAAATTTTTTAGTGCAGTCAAGTGTTCCTTGTCCATCTGGCAGACTACATGGCTTTCCTGCACTCTTTGTGGATAATTGTAGGGTAGACAAAATGGCCCTTCACCCCAGCGATGAAACTCTGGAGAGATGATCCATAGACCACAGAGATACACTGAAGTGGGCGGGGGAGCCAGAGTGCCATGAACAACCTCTAAAGGGAGTGCTGTGAATAAAATCCTGACTTACCAGTCAGTGGCGTCCTAAAAGGAGAGGAAGTCGGCACGTATAAAACAGCTGTGTAAATTATAAAGCTTCCAGGGTACAACTAACCTCATCACGTTACTTCCTAAACACTGGATTCCCTCCTCCTTTCTCCTCTTAGACCCCAAAATAATCTAAAACAATCATCAAACTGGGGGAAAGGCAAACCATTTTGGGAAGGAAAAAATAGCAGCTGCTCTAGATATCTTTTTCAGAGTCTGGCTAAGATCGTTTAAGTTATTTCTCATTCTCTTTTCTTCTTGGCTGCCTTGACAGCCCTTCAGGATTTCAGCTGGCTCCAAGCACAGCTCAATAAAGATTATTCCGGAGAAGTTTCATATTCCTAAGATTCCTTACATTTCTTTCTTTAATTTAGGAAATGAGGTTGAAAAGGCTGAAAAACAGCCCAGATTGCCCCATTTCCTATGCAAGTTTCTTGCAAAGCAAGCTGTGCCTCCCTTTCCAAGAAGAACAGAGAGAGGCAGTTCTAATTGGAAGGTGGGCGGTGGGTCCTCTGGAGCAGCGGTAGGACTATTTGTCTTTTGAAACGGCCCCAGCGGGCCCAAAAGCTATCTGAAAACTTTTTGTAAAGGAAGGGAAGGGGGGGGGGGGTAGGAAACTTTTGTGTGCTCAGCCACTGGAAAAGCCAGTAACTGCTCTGTGGATTTCATTCATTCACCAAACGAATGTCTACTTTGCACCTGTGTGGTGCCAGGCTCTGTTCTAGATGCTGAGGGTAGATGGGTGAAGATGACCGACCAAGTGTCTGATCCCTGCAGGGAGTTTCTGTGCAGGAGGCGGGGGCTCCACTGAGAGGGCTAGAGGAAGCCCCGGCCCTGGCTGTTTCCTCTCAGTTGGGTGCTTTCCTTCCCTCCTTCGGGCTCTTGAGTCCCTTCCTCCTCCTGCATCCTTGGTTTATTATACCCTTCACCTTTCCCCTTTATAATCACATGTGCCGTTTGTAAACATCAAAGGAAAATAAGCAGGACTGGGGAGCTGATCAAAATGAGGCCTATGACTCAGAGGAGGATGTTGTTCTATTTTTCGTTTATACAACTCTCTTCTCAGAAGAAAGCAGGAGACTTTTCGTTATGAGAATAGTCTGTCTCTCTGTTTTAGAGATTCCTCACCTCTGCTCTCATTGTCAAAGTCTCCTTTCAACCATCCACTGCGGTGTTGACCTCCAACTCACCTGGGCCCTCGGAGGAGCCTGGCAATCACTTCTTGTTTCCTCATGCAGCTTTGTTGTTTTTCGTCCTTCATTTAGTCTATTTCAAAAAAAAAGAAAAAGAAAAGTCTCCATACACCTCGGCTTTCCCTGACCACATCCCATCCCAACTTCCATGCCCACCCAGTTAGCCTCAACCAAGGACAGTGCTCATACTTTAGAGAGAAAATACAAACCATCAGAAAATCATCTCACCTACATAGACTGATTGTTTCACCCACTAGATTCATATGCTGAAGCCTAATCCCTAATGGGATTAGGGAAACCTAATCCCTCTCGGTGAATTCACAGGTGGGGCCTTTGGGAGGTGATTGGGTCATGACTCCAGCCATCATGACTGGGATCAGCACCCTTATAACAGAACCCCCCCTCCCAACAGTTCTCTTGTCCCTCCCCCAACATGAGGACACAGTGGGAAAATGACCAGGAAGCGGGCCCTCAGGAGACACTGAATGTGCCATGCCTTGATCTTAGATTTCCCAGCTTCCAGACCTACGAGAAATAAATTTCTGAGGGTGCCTGGGTGGCTCAGTCGGTTAAGCGTCTGACTCTTGATTTAAGCTCAGGTCATGATCTCATGGTTTGTGAGACAGAGCCCCATGTCGGGCTCTGTGCTGACAGTGCAGAGTCTGCTTGGGATTCTCTCTCACTCTGCCCCTCTCTGGCTCTCACGTGCTCAAGTCTTTCTCTCTCTCTCTCTCTCTCTCAAAATAAATAAATAAACTTTAAAAAAAAAAAAAAAAAAAAAGAGGAGCGCCTGGTTGCCTCAGTTAGTTTTGGCTCATGATCTCAACATTTGGTTATGATTTCAACGTTCATGAGTTTGAACCCTGCATTGGGCTCTGTAGTAATAGTTCAGAGCCTGGAACCTGCTTCAGATTCTGCATCTCCTCCTCCCTCTGCTCCTCCCCCACTCACACTCTTTCTCTCTCTCTCTCAAAAATAAATAAACATTTAAAAATTTTTTAATAAAAATTAAAAAAGAAAGTTCTTTATTTATAATCCAGCCAGTCTATCCTGTTATAGCAATTTGTCCCTGCACACATTTTCTCCACTTGCACAGAGAAAGGGTGCCCTCTTAATTAAGGTGAGTCCCTGCACCACAGCTTCGTATCTACCCCATTTCGTCTTGTCAGGGAGAGCACTCCATCAGTTACCTACTTCTTTACCCACCCCCCTCCATTTCTTCCCCTCTGCTGGATCCTTTCCTTCTACCACAAAACCCTGGCCTTTCCTCATAAGAACTTCCTGCTAAAAGCTGGTCCAGAAACATCCAAGGACAGATAATAAAAAAATGGGGGGACCAAGATGAAGGCTCTCATAAATACCATTAACTGACTGTTAGACCGTTTGGAATTACCCTTTATGTCTCTCATCTTCTACTCATACTCTACTTTCTGAGATGTTTTATCAACTATCTAATCTTTCCAGTGGACTTTCAGTTTTGCCAAACATACTGTTCATTCCCAAGATTTCCACGTATTTCTGAACCTTCTTGCTATAGCATCCTTGCTCCTATCTTAGGTAGGCAATATCTTTTCAAATCTCTGAAAATACTAATTAGAGGTTGTTGGTTTTTTAAAAAAAATAAATATCTTTCAGGGCGCCTGGGTGGCTAAGTTGGTTAAGTGTCCGACTTCAGCAGAGCTCATGATCTCATGGTTCATGGGTTCGAGCCCTGTGTCAGGCTCTGTGCTGACAGCTCAGAGCCTGGAGCCTGCTTCAGATTCTGTGTCTCCCTCTCTCTCTGCCCCTCCCCCACTTGTGCTCTGTCTCTCAAAGGCGAATAAATGTTAAAAAAAAAATTAAAGAAATATATTTCTGTTCCCTAAATTATTTCTCTGTGGGATCCTTGTCATTAGGCATAAGCTGCTGAGTACACCCATTTATATTGCTACTTCCAGTCGCATTCCTGAACTCCAGATTTATATCTTTAATTGCCTACTGAACAACTCTACTCGGACATCCTAAAGACACCTCAAAGTGAGCTCATACTTTCCTCCAAACTTGTCGTTGTCTTTCATCTAGCAGTAATTCTTGACTGATCCTATTTTTACTCACCTGTTTCTCCTACATTAATTCCTAAAGGTTTTGTCTCCTTCATGTCACTCAATATTGTCCTAATGTTTCCTACTTTGCTGAAGAAACAGAGGTGGTACAACAGTTGGCACATCTCCATGCATTTAACTGCTCCATCTCAGGGAAGGTGGAGTGACGTGTGATTTGTACATCAGGAAGGACGACCTGGGCATGTTAGTTCTGAGCCACCCTTTATTCTCTCAGCTGTTAACCCCAAGGACACACATTCTTTTCTTTTTTTTTTTTTTTAAGTTTCTTTTTTCTTCTTTTTAGTAATCTCTACACCCAACATGGGGCTTGAACTCACGACCCTGAGATTAAGAGTCCCATGCTCTTCTGACTGAGCCAGCCAGACATCCCTATGGGGACACACATTCTAATAGTCATCCAGGTGCAGCATTCCCCAGAGGATGTCACAGTTTGGGTTCCTTGGAAAGCAGATGCTGAGACAGATATTCATGTATAGGAGGTTTATTAGCAGTGTTATCAGGATCAATACTTGTGGAGGGAAGTGAAGAGAAAGGAAGGGAAGGGAAGGGAAGGGAAGGGAAGGGAAGGGAAGGGAAGGG